TTTAATATTTCTTGTATGTTTTGGTCATTTAAAGTATTCCTATTATCTAATACTTCAGTTCTATTTTCTCCATGCTTTATTTTTTCTTTTATAGATTCTGGTAACTTCCTCCACCATTCAGAAACAATTCCTCTGAATGTATGTTTTATAAATCCAAAAACTGTATATGTTTTCCATTTATTAAATTGTATTGCTAAGTCGGTACTTTTCATCTATGTTTCAATAGCTTTATTTTTATCTACACAGTCGAGATCCAACCATATTCCTGTTGTGTGGATTGGTTCATTATAAGATTTCATTGGATTTATTTCTTTTATGGATTGTTTTCTTATATTTCCAGTGTATCATTATCTGTTGCATTTCTTAAATCAATAAAATTTTGTATAATATTTGCGGTTAAATTTATTAAAGATTCATGATCTATATTTCTTTGGGGGACCTAATTGAAGGTTTTTATACATTGTAATGGTTTTGGATGCAAATTCTCTATGAGGGGTATTTTTGGAAAGATTATTATTCAAAGGTTATTCTTAAAATAATTATCTTTTCAGGTCTAATCTAACAATTTACTCTTATATTTAGGTTATTTGCAGGTATTTCCTCTTGCAACAATCACATTTCAAACTAATAGAAAGAATGAGTGTAAAAGGAGGCAAATGTTGAGGACATTGATTGCAATTTACTCTAGAAAGGATAATTTGATTGGAGCGGTTAAGTAGACAACGACATACATAAAAAAGTCCGTGATGAATATATTACGATAAAAGCTTTAATAATATTTAATTAAAGAAAATGTCTTTACAATAATCAGTAATTTAACATTCCACCTAGTGACCAAATTTAAATGAATTAAAGTAAACAAGTAATGCCTTGAACACTCAATCGACTTCAATATACATTTTAGTAAAGGTTACAAAGAAGAAACAGCTATTGCAACAATCACATTTCAAATTAATAGAAAGTGTTACGTGTTCGCACACTTGGGCAACCCACCGGGGCCCACAGCCAACTCATGCCGAACCACATGGCACTCAATCCGAGGTGATTTGCATAGCCGAGGCCCACAATCTGAGGCCCATTTATCCTTGCCTCATGAGGAACTCCCGAAGCCCATATGCCGAGACCCTTTGAAGGTGGACGAGGCCCTGTTTGCCAAAGCTCCTTAGCCGAAGTGATAGCATCCGAAGCACAAAGCAACATCTTCCATAAACACCTCTCCCAAGAGATCTTCTGCATAAAGATCGCGTTTGAATGATTGATGGGACGTTTGTCATGAGTGTAAATGTTAAGTCTTGTCACTAGTAGAGGCGGCTCTGCCATTCAATCAATATATAACAAGCTAAGTGCGGCTGATGCCTACAATTTGACATGTAAATTAACCAAATGAGGCCACGTGTAACCCGAACCAAAGGTCACGATCCAACTTGTGACACTATAAATACTCCTCCATGTACCCCATACAAAGGCTAATGCAAGAATCAATACAAGAAACCACACTTTACTCTCTCTTTCAAATTATCTTGCAACACAATACGAGTTCATACATATTTGGATACACATTAGCAAACATCGATTGGTAATTATTGTACAATCGGTCTACGACCATATCGTCGAATTTCGAATGTTCTCGTCCCGTGTCATTGAGCTACTCCCATACCCTTGATCTGTCCTTTTCAAACCGTCCACGTGTCTTAGCGTGTTAGAATTTCGCTCATGTGTGCGCGGGTGGGTCCGGTATCTGTTGGCAACATTTATTGAGGTCAACAGATTGGCGCCGTCTATGGGAAATCATATAATAACCACGAACAACCTTGTGGTGAAAGCTTGTTAAAGCGGAATATTTGGGCATCCTAGGATTTGTTCTTGAAAAAGAACTGGAGGAAGCCCCACGACTTAGCAAAAATCTGAAGGGTAAGACACAAGAAAATGAGTTCAAACGAAGATACACCCCCAGAAGGGTAAGAGAAAATGCTAATGTGCCCTCTCAAGCAGAAGCCCCAGTGGCTTGGCATAGACCCCATCATAACCACCAAAAAGGTGGAATGCGCACGACGGCCCAGCTGTCAAGAGAAATGGCCGCCATGGCAGCCAATATAAGGGACATTGCTAGCCAAAATATGGCTATGAGGGAACTTATGGCTCAAATGCAAGGCCAGGGAGGCTTCCCTATTCCTCCATACGTCCCTCAAGGGCAACACCAACAAGAAGATGAAGTTCAAAGCTATAGGGCTACCTCACCGGTCTATAGCCGAGGTGTAAGCCCATTTGAAAGGGAAGTAGAAGTTGACATTTCCTCTAACTACGCTTCTGGCCGACCCACCAAGGCCCTTTTTCATCATGATAACTTCCCACCTTCGTATGAGCAAGAGTAAAGACATACGAGGTTAGGCAGCGTATTTGACAGAATTAGCCCTGCTGAACCGAGGCTCAGACAACAACAGCATCACGAACCTTGGACAAGGCCACCGCCTCTACCTCCGATGCCTCAACAACCGGAGGAAAGGCATGAAAATGCCCCTCGTGTTGCTCCGCCTAGAAATAGGGGCCAAAGGAGGGAGGAAGAGGCTAGGAATCATTCCTGAACCTCTCACCAACAACCAAGGTATGAGGCTGAAGAAAACGATTCTGATGAGCAGCAGAGGTCCTGTGACTTGGACGATGATGATAAAATCTTGCCATTCTCTAGGGAACTAAGGAGCGCCCAGGTCCCGAACCACTATGTTATGCTAAAAATACCAAAGTACGACGGAAGAGGTGACCCAGAGAAGCACCTAAATGTTTACAAAACTCACATGAGCCTAAGGGGTGCTACCCCAGCTGTGAAATGCAGAGTTTTCCACTTAACACTTAGCGGAGCAGCTGAAATTTGGTATAGCATGTTACCACCTGGGAGCATAAGAAGCTAGCCCGAATTCAAGACGACCTTCCTGAAGAGGTTTGCTGTGAGCAAAGAGGGAGAGGCCCAATCCAACGTCTCCAAGACATGAGATAGGCACATGGGGAGTCCCTAAAGAGCTTCCTATCACATTTCATCGATGAAATGACGTATCGTGTGTAAGTCACCGATCGTGAGGTGTTATCTGCATTGAGAGGAGGTTTGAACATGAATACCCTGTTCTGGAGGGATGTGCAAAATCAAGACCCCACTATCTATGATGCCCTACTCGAGATGATGAGACGGGAAATCATCAATGAAGAACTGATTGAGCATAGGAACAGGGCGAATAGAGGCCTCCCACCTCTTCAAAGGCAGAGTGCTAGAGGGCCGACCTCCCACTTGATGGACTACCAGATGAACCAAGCTGGTAACGAGAGCTCTGGGCAAGCACTGGCCAGCACCACTCTTAACACCGTCCCTATATTGGCATATGAGGATATAAACTCAGTCGCCGACACCCAGCAGATGGGAACTCCACAAGGATCCCGTAGGGGTAGAGGCCGAGGCCAGGGTTCAGGACCTAGAAATAGGTCGAATCAAAACCCACCTAGATACTGTGTATACCATCAATCCTATGGACACGACACAGCAAATTGTCGAGACTACACTCACCGCTCTCGACAAGAACCTCCTAGGGATAGAAATGATTCGTCCCAGGCGAACAGGCCCCGCCAAGGTGCGATAACCAACCTGGGCGTGAAAAGGCCACTCCACGTCAAAGAGATGTTTCTCCGTGACGAAGGGAGCATGATGCAGAGAGGTCCAAGGAAGGGCGCAGACCCTGGAGAAACCGACATGCTTAGGATGAGGCCCCTATCCATGAGGTGGATACCATTTTTGGAGGCCCATATGTAGGCGGTGAAACGTGGAACGCTAAAAGGAACTATGCTCGTGAGGCCAAGCGCCCCTCGCTTACTAGCTACATTGTGGGCCACAGCTCCCGGAGGGATCAAGTTCCACCTATTATCTTTACTCGGGAGGACACCGAAGGAGTTCACTACCCCCATTGTAATGCACTAGTGGTAAGAGCAGTCATAACCCGGAATGGGCTCAAACGAATGTTAGTTGACAATGGTAGCTCTGTCAACATTCTATTCGGATCCATCTTTGACAAGATGATACTGGACCATGGGTTAACATCCACCACCACTCCTTTGTACGAATTTACCGGAGATAGCATTACTCTGAGAGAAAAAATACACTCGCGGTAGAGATGGGTGAGTCTCCCCAAACCATAATAAACTTCATGGAATTCCTTGTTGTTGACAATCAATCGGCCTACCATGGAGTATTGGGTAGGCCAGCCCTAAAAGAATTGGGAGCTGTCATCTCTATCCACCACCTATGCATGAAGTTCCCGACTGAAAATGGGGTGGCAAAGGTGAGAGGTGACCAAAGAGGCTCAAGAGAATGTTATTTAAACTCCATCAGAAAGGTAGAGCCCCGGGACGTCCACATAATTATTACCGATGTAGTCATGGCTGATGCCCCAGGTGACGCTCCCGTCGGACCGAAAGATGTCAAAATGATTGATGCACCATCCAATCCAGAAGTATTGCTCATTGATGAGATTGATCCTCGCATAACTAAACATGAACCTCAAGCATCTCCAGTTGAGGAATTCGAGAGCTTCTCGGTGGACCCCTAAGATCCATCCAAATTGTTGAAGGTGGGCAAGGGCTTATCTAGCACTACGAAAGAAAAGCTCAAGGATTTTCTAAGTAGGAACCTCGATATCTTTGCTTGGAGGCATGAGGATATGGTAGGCATAGACCCCAAGGTCAGTTGCCACCACCTGAAAATTGATCCTAAGGTTGCCCTGCATAGACAAAAAAGGAGAGCCCTCAATCCTGAGAGGTACGAGGCTCTGAAGGAAGAATTTTAGAAGTTCATCCAGAATAGCTTCATCCGGGAGGCCACCTACCCGAGGTGGGTCTCCAATCCAATTTTAGTGAAGAAACACAACGGCAAGTAGAGGGTATGCATCGATTTCACTAACCTCAACAGAGCTTGCCCGAAGGACAACTTTCCACTTCCAAGAATCGACCAATTGGTAGACTCCATGGCTAGGCACGAGTTATTGAGCTTCATGGACGCATACTCCAGTTACAATCAAATCCCCATGCACCCGGCCGATGAGGAACACCCATCCTTCATCACAGATCGAGGCCTTTACTATTACAAGATGATGCCCTTCGGGTTGAAAAACGTCGAAACAACATATCAAAGGCTCGTTAACAAAATGTTTGTGGACCTCATAGGTAAGACAATGGAGGTCTATGTAGAGGATATGTTGGTAAAGAGTTTGGAAGCTGGGGACCACACAACGCACTTCAACAGCACCTTCCAAATCTTGAGAAGATATAGGATAAGGTTCCAAATCTTGAGAAGATATAGGATGAGGCTCAACCCCCTCAAATGCACTTTCAGAGTGGCCTCCGATAAATTTTTAGGATACATGGTCAACCAACGTGGTATTGAAGCCAACCCTGAGAAGATTGAGGCTCTATGCAAGATGAGGTAAAAGCTAAAGGAGGTGCAAAGCTTGACTGGACGAGTGGCCGCGCTTAGTCGCTTTGTCTCCAAGGCTACAGATAAATGCCTCCCATTTTTCAAAGTGCTAAAAGCTGGAAAAAAGTTCCAGTGGAATGAGGAATGTGAAGAGGCCTTTCAGGGCTTGAAAAGGCACCTAGGGTAGGCCCCCTCCTCTCCAAACCAAAGCCCAGTAAAATCCTACAGCTGTATCTAGCCGTCTCCAATGAGGCCATTAGTGCGGTTCTAACTTGAGAAGAGGGAACCACCCAACTCCCCGTTTACTATACAAGTAAAGCACTCCTATCGCCGAAAACCCGCTACCCTGACATGGAAAAGCTCGCTTTGGCCTTGATCACGGCCTCTAGGAAGTTGAGACCCTACTTCCAAGCCCACACCATCCAAGTGCTGACAAATTTTCTCCTAAGGCAGGCACTCCAAAAGCCCGATACCTCAGGGAGATTATTGAAATGGGCAGTGGAGCTAAGTGAGTTTGACCTCGTGTTCAAGGCTAGAGCAACCATCAAGGGCCAAGCTTTAGCTGACTTTATGGCAAAATTCGCCAACTTACCCGAGGTGGACGAAATCATGGAACAAGCAGAGCTCCCAACGTGGAACCTATTCGTTGATGGGTCGACTGGGGACGTCGACTCGAGTGCCAGAGTTGTCCTCATCAGCCCGAAAGGTCACAAGCTGAACTCGACAATGAGGTTCGGGTTCAAGGCCACCAACAATGTAACAGAATACGAGGCGCTTCTCGCAGGCCTCAGATTAGCCAAAGAAATGCAAGTAAAGAGGCTACTCATCAGTAATGACTCCCAACCAATCGTTAGCCAGGTCAACGTAACTATTAGCCAGGGACAAAACAATGGCCTCCTACTTGAAAATGGTGATGAACCTCATCCCATCCGTTGAAAAGTTTGAGTTGATCCAGATCTCCCGCGTCGGAAACGCACATGCGGATGCACTCTCCAACCTTGCAAGTAGTAAAGATTCCGAACTACTAACAGTAGTCCCTATAGAGCACCTCCTCATGCCGTCAACCGAGGTCCCCAATGTAATGTGGGTCACTGGGACTCCTACCTGGATGCAGCCCATCGTGGCATACCTCAAGGACCAGGTACTTCCCACTGACAAGCATAAGGCCTACAAGCTAAGGAAGAGGTCAGCCCATTTCCTCTTCATTGATGATGTACTCTATAAGAGGAGCTCCTCCTCTCCACTTTTACGATGCGTCGGAGGAGAAGAGGCTACCTACATTTTAAGAGAAGTCCATAAGGGTGTGTGCGGCAACCACTCTGGAGGTCTATCTTTGGCACAAAAGATACTGAGACAGGGGTACTACTGGCCTACCTTGAAAAGGGATGCCCTCGAGTTTGTATTAAAATGAGACAAATGCCAACGATTCTCTCCTGTCCAAAGACAACCATCGTAAGATGTGACCGCGATCTCCAGCCCTTGGCCTTTCTCGAAGTGGGGTGTGGACCTCATAGGTCATCTACTAAAAGGCAGAGGAGCTGCGAGCTTCGCAATTGTGGCCATTGATTACTTCACGAAGTGGGTTGAAATTGAACCGCTGGGAAAAATTACAAAAGCCAACACTTCCAAGTTCTTGTGGAAGAATATCATATGTCGGTTCGAGATTCCCTACTCAATCGTCTCAGACAATGGCAGACAGTTTGACAACAAGAAGGTCAAAAGTTTGTGTGAAGAACTTGGCATCAAGAAGCACTTCTCCACACCTCACCACCCACAAGCAAATGGCCAGGTTGAGGCTGTGAATAAGACAATCAAGCATGTCCTAATAAGGAAGCTCGATGTGTCAAAAGCGGCCTGGGTGGATGAGCTGCCACAGGTTCTTTGGGAAATCCTAACCACTGCCAGAACCCCAATAGGGAAAACACCTTTCCTCATGGCATATAGAACTGAGGCGATGAGCCCCGTCGAGGTCGAACTTCCATCTCCATTACATCTGCATTTCAGCGAGATAACAAATGACGAGCTTCGCAGGTACGACCTCGACTTCATTGAAGAAAGGAGAGATGACGCCCAGCTGAAGCTCGGCATATATCAAAGAAAGATGACGAAGTACTTCAACTCAAAGGTAAAGAAGAGGTCATTTCGAATCAACGACTTAGTCCTTAAGAGAGTTTTCCTCTCCTCGAAGGAACCTGGCACCGGTTCCCTGGGCCCGAACTGGGAAGGTTCATACAAAATCAGAGAGGAGATCCAACCTAGGACCTACTGGATTGAAGACATGAACGACAAGGCACAACCCCATCCATGGAACATTGAGCACCTCCGAATCTATTATCAATGAATGTACTACCTTACTGGACGATCTTTCCTAGCTTATGTAACTTCCGTGATTCAATAAAATTATCCATAATTGAATTCACATCACATTGCGTTATCACCTCGGAGGAGGGGCCAGCATCCCATCTTTGGGCTATCCCGTCTAAACTCCGAAGCACATGCACTTGCCTCCCTTTGGCGAGGCTGAACGCCACTGGGAGAAGCCTCAGCATGGCTGAACCATCCACCTTGTTGGGAAGCGTCATCACCTCGGAGGAGAGGACAGTCTCCCATCCTTGGGCCACCTCGTTTGAACTCCGAGGCGCATGCACTTGCCTCTCTTTAGCGAGGCTGAATGCGACTGAGAGACGCCTCAGCATGGTTGAACCATCTACTATGTCGAGAAGCGTCATCACCACAGAGTAGAGGCCAGCGTCCTATCTTTGGGTCACCTCGTTTCAACTCCGAGGTGCGTGCACTTATTTATGTTCAAGGCTCAACCACTACTAGCTTTACTCAACTACATTTTGAATTAGACAGCAATATTCCCAGTTCAGCTGAAACACGATCCAGTCAGGATCCATTCAGATTACAATTATTAAGCTTACTTACAATTCATTTGCTTAAGTCCAATACTGTTCATGGCTCGTGAGGTTTGCGTACAATTTACTTGTTCAAGTGATTGGAGTTAGGATACCAAGTTAAAGTTATTTAGTTCTTCAATCAACATTAAGTTCAATTGCTTGACGAGGCTAATGTACTTTGGAGAAAAACAACATTGAATGAAAAAGGATATTATATTGATTTACAATCAAAATTACAACCGGGGGGGCCAAGGCCAGTACATCAGAAATAACTGAAAAGAAAATTATCCTAAGCCTGTGATGATGGTGGAGGTGCCTCAACAGCTGAGGCCTCTGCAGCTTGAGCATCAGAACTTCCTTCTTCTATCTCCGCCACTTTATCTCCACCGCTTCATCGGCTGGGGTTTGGGGCACTTCATCCACAAACTCTGACCTCAGCTGTGACAGGTCTTGATTTGGGTAAAGCTCCTTAGCCCTCTCCATCATCTCGGAATAAGCAAAATTTCTCTAGTAAGTGCTGAAGCTCTTGTGCTCTTCGGTATTGTGGAAGTTGGCGATGTAGTCTTTCATCGCCTCTTTCTTCCCTCATGGACCTCCTCCCTTGCCTTGGTAGCATCATCAATGTACCACTTTATCTGGCCCTCCAAGAACTTGTAGGCATCTAGGGCCCCAGCCAGCTCCAAATTTGCCTTCTCCAAGGCTTCGGCAGTCACCTTTTGGTGGTCATTGGAGACCTCCACTTTCTTAGTCAAGGAGGCCACCTCACACTGAGACTCATATACTTCCTTCTTCAGCGCCTCAATTTGAGCTAAGGCAGACTCCAACTTGGCCATATCTTCAAGTTTTTGAGCCTTTGCTTCCTTTACCTCAGCTCTAGCCCCCTTGAGCTCCTCTGTAAGGGAGGCCATCTTCTTCTCCAAGGACTGGGTCCTCATTTGAAAGTCGGTAAGGGCCTCCCTACACTCCAGTGCAAGGCCAAAGGTCCTCACACTTTGGCTCACTAGGACCCTTGTCAAATCTGTGGCTTCACATAAGGAGGCATGCAACTGTCACCGATCCGTCCAGAATTTGTAGAAGCATTCTATAGCACTTCGGATCTCAGGTGGCAGAGCCTCCACCAATGCTGGAGCCAGAACCTCCTCAACAAGGAATCTCATAGACTTTCCTTGCACCCTCGCAGGCCTCTGTTTGGCGGCCTCCTCTTACGTCGCCTCAGCTGCCCTTCTCGCAGTCTCCTCCTTTGCTTCCTCAGCCTCGGCTCGTCGAACCATTTCTATTTTTACCGCTTTCGAGGTGAACGCAAGGAGCTTTGGCTGAGTGACTTCTTTATCTTCATGGGACACAGAGGTCCCGAATTTTCCTGACGAGCTGGTGACATGCACCAGTTTCCTCTTCTTCGGCTCCTCGAGGACTTTTTCTTTTCCCCAAGGCTCTTTAACCTTCTTCGGCCTATGAGGTGTCCCCTCTTCTGGAGCCCTCGAACTATCGTCCTTAGAGAGGCGCTCGACCCTCCCCTGAAGCTCTTTGGCACCACTAGACCCCGGCTTCAGGGGCCTCACCTTCACAGTAGATGTGGCCTTCAGTATAGAGGCCATATCAGGGACTGGGTACTCCCTCCTCTTGAACTTGTTTGCAGAACATGTCAACGTATCAGCATCAAAATGAAAAGCAAGGAATACACTAAATATAGGAGCTTCTTACCCTTGGAGGCCATCAGTTCGAAATCAAGGAAGTAGCGACTTCGGTCGATGAGGTGGTCGAAGTGGCGAAGCTTGAGAGGCCTATTGTAAATGTCCTCTATCACTTTGAACTCCTCCTTGCTCAGCTTGAACCTCGTACTACTATCTGCACAGCAAGCCTTAACAGTTAGAAAAAATAAATTTGAATACATAATGCAAACTACTTAGGCTGGGAGACTCACGAGCTTCGTAGTACTAGGTCGGTACTGTGTAAGCCAGGGTTGTGTCGCCCTCCACCGCCTGCCACCTGCCCCTCATCCAGAACCACGACTTCTTCTACCTCTTAATGGAAGAAGGCAGCCCCACCACAAATGATGCATGAGCCCCCAAGGAGTCAAGTAATACCACCCCCTGGACTCCTTACCTATTACCCTAGGCTGGAATAGGGTCATGAAGACGTGGAGAGGTATGTCCTCCCCAAGTGAAACTTCCTTCTATAGGAAGTAAGAGCTGACCAACTGGCTCCATCCATTTGGCAGAATCTGGGTCGGTGACAACATAAAGTTCCTCAGCACCGCCCTAAAGAAGGGGTGCAGAGGAAGACGCATACCTGCTTTAAACAGGTACTCGCTCACCTCCACGCATCCAGGCCTCGGATAGCAGATCCGTTCATGGGCCTCGGGTACTAAAATCTCAATATAATGAGGTACACAGTACCTCTCCCTAATCTCCCCAACCTCTTCCCTGTCATGTTCGAAGGGACCCTAGACATCCCCCACTCCAAACTGTAATCTACTGCCTCCTCAGTCATAGCATACTGCTCAACCTCAAAGTCCCCCCATATCTAGACCCCTGGCCGAACAACGCGACAGTAACCAACTCCCTACCTGAGGTGGACTCCATATCAGAAAATGACTAAGAACACAATACAAGGATGTTTTGTAAAAAATACCTACGGGGTTACTACGCCGATGAAATGCTGTCGAAAAATCAGGGGACAAAGAGCTTCGACACCGAAAAACTTTAGCTTTGGAAGAAAAAATTGGATTGCAAAGGGTAGAAAATCCAAGACAATGAGGGTCTCTGGCCTTTTATAAAAGGCCAGGACCAACCCCAACCGTCTGATCAAAGCCCATCCAATCTGAACCCTTCATTCTTAATCAAATCGGAGAAGTAGAATTCAAACGGTTTTTCAAACCTACGCCTCAGATTAAAGCATGTCCCCCACGCACCTCCTCCAAAGCGTCTGCTTCTAGAAGCTCCAGCTGTCATCATGATTACGGTTTTAATTCGACGGCAACAGACACCTTGGAAGTTGTAACGGTTTAGCCACTTTTCCTCGAAAATATGTGCAAAACATCAAATCATTGGCACAGCTGCCGAGAAACAATTATTGTCAATGTGCCTCAGAATTCAGCCATCAAGCTTCGCAGGTTCGATTTCTCAACCACCTCTGTTTCTTCATCAAAATTCACCCACAAGCCTCGCAGGTTCGGTTTCTCAACCACCTCGACTTCTTCATCAGAATTTAGCCATCAAACCTCGCAAGTTCGGTATCTCAACCACCTCGACTTCTTCATCAGATATCACCCATTAAGCCGAGTAGGTTTAGTTTCTCAACCACCTCGGCTTCTTCATCAAAATTCAGCCATCAAGCCTCGCAGGTTCGATTTTCCAACCACCTTGGCTTTTTCATCAAAATTCAGTCATCAAGCCTCGTAGGTTCGATTTCTCAACCACCTCGACTTCTTCATCAGATATCAGCCATTAAGCCTTGTAGGTTCAGTTTCTCAACCACCTCGACTTCTTCATCAAAATTCAGCCATCAAGCC